AAATTTACCAATGTCTCATGGGTTACTTGTGAGCTGGTTGTTTCTCAATCAAAAGTATTTTTAATTACTTTTTTAAAAGTCTTTCCTGCTAACATATACATTTTTTATCACTCAGTGGGAAACATAATTAGGATTAGTTTGATGCTTTTTTTAGCCTTCTATAATTGTGCTGAGAAGATTTACTGCACTTTTCGAAACTGTATCTCACCTTGGTATTTCTGACAGATGCAATAAATTTCCTTCATTTCAGCTGCTTACCGCCTTAAACTTGCTGGGTGAGCTGGATGGTCGTCTGAAGAAGTGGGCAGCCTATATAGTCAAAAATTTCGTCCAGCCCATTGTAGATAGCGCTGATGGAATAGATCCTTACGAGCGATATGTTGTAACGGTGGGCAAATATGAACTCTTATGATCGCTGTAGCATATCTCTGTTTTATAGAATAGGACTGCAGAGTTCACCGCAAGCAGCAAAATCAGGCCCACAATCAAGGCGATTTCGGTTGAGGGGGTAGTTAGGTACGTTTTAAATACATTGTATCTATATTTTTATCCATATTCTCTCGCTTTGACGATTTTATATGTATAGTGCCCTCCTACGCCTGTTTTCCAACATTGCAACAGCAATAGATTGTATTCAAGTAAACGGCAGACCACTTCCGCTCTGTCTTGGTCATTTCATCCAAGATGACCTTATGGCCATGTTTTTGAAGGTGTCTTCTTCATATTCATAGTTCTTTCTATGCATATCTACCTCTGTTTGCAGCAGTGTGTAGCTGCTTCCATACCGGTTCCTGATCCAGATGGATCAAAACTAAACGATGCAATGATAGTCGCTGAGAAATTTCGCGACGATATGATAGTCAGCGGAACTTTGTGATCTTTTCCGTGTTTTTGACTGTTTGAATTGTCCTCTTCTTAGGCCCTTGGTTTCTTCAATGATGCCACCCCCACTTTCAAAACCTTTTCTGAACAACATTTCACTGTATTTATCGATCGTAGATGTTTGGAAGTGATAAGGAGGGCTAAGGAGTTGATTTGTATGCCATACTTGGAGCTGGTCGAAGTTTGTATAATGTTCTTGATGCTGATACCATATCTTTTCTAGCATCCATCAAATTGCGATTTGTTTTAGGTTGGAAGTGGTGAAGAAGTTAGTGAAGAAACTATTCTTCAATATAAAGAGGCATTTGGGAAAGTTTTACCAAAGTCGTCTACATCTTGTGATAGCGTATATCCTGTATTGCTTCAGCTTCCTCGGTGCAAAGTCAGGTGCAGTTTTTGGTTTTTTTAAAAGTTTGTTTTATGTATTCTACTTTTTACAGCAAATCTACTGTAGATCTGATGGAGTTAGTTTTTGCTACCTTCGAAGATGCACTTAACACGGATAATGAGGTGGCGACTCAGCTTTTTTTTCTGAGCTTACTTTTAACTCTCTATTTTGTTCAAGAAGTTATCCGGTCGCTTAGCATTAACTGCTCGAAATGTGCTGCAGTTGTTTGAACTAACTGCTCCAAGACATCATGGAACTGCGATTTCTTCAATGCCACAGATGGCTGGTGAGCTTTGTTCTGACAACATTGCAATTCAAAGTGCGTTATTTCAGCTATATTTTACAACAACTGCTATTACATCTGTCATAGACTTATGATGATGCCATTTGGTATATTGAAAAATGTGGAGAAAAGTTCACCGAAGGTTGCTTTCACTATTTGTTGCTTTTACATACAGTTTCATAATGTATTCTAGTTTGCCAGCTTCCGTCCAATTCTTTCTGATTCGATTTGGAAGTTGAGAGAAATTGCTGCAGATATGATGGAGCAGGTGTGTTTATAAAGTTTAGTGAACAAGATCTAATTTTTTTGGGTTCTTTTTTTTTGACTGCTCAACCTTTACTCTACTCTTTTACTATCTGTTACCTTACGAAACGAGGGAATTGTTGAAACTCAACGGGTCAAAGTTTTTGATCCAATCATGCCTTTGTAATTTCCCAGTCTGCTTTTCTTCCAACTTCATATTGAAGGCTATTTTTTAGATGATGCGTCAGTGCAGGCGCGATATTAGCGTTTTGATGAACAAAGATGATTGTGAGTTTTTTTTTTCCTCAGCACTCCTCCAGTATATGCTCCTTTTTTAGTGTTTATAAAAATCGACGACCTTGAACGGTGCGATGAGACTAAAGACGTGTTGAATGCTTGCCTAATGCATGTGCAAAATGTGTCCCATCTTCTCAAAGAGGTCAATAATCTTGCTTATTTTCAAAATGCGTCTAATCGACCATTTTAGGTTTTGGCTGAGATGGTTTACTCACAGACGATGGCTAACATCGTTTCTTTCTTGTTGGATAGTATCTGCGACATAATCTTGAAGCGTGAGGACATTCGCTCAGTTGATGCGGACATCTCAGCGAAAATGATCGATACGTTACTGGATCAATTGGCTCCAGTTTTTATGGTAAGTGAGGCCGTTATAATTTATCTCTATTTTCCAATTCGCATGAATGACCTTTGAAGGTTAATGGTCGTTCGTCAATTCATGAAGTGTGCTCTACATCCTACTTCCGCACGAAGGAAATAATATTCTGTTTAAAAGGAAGCTTACAAGTTAGTAAAGCACCTCAGCTCCTTAGTTCTGATAGAACTCTTCTATCTTAGATCTTCTTTTCAGAGTATCGATGATCGATGGTGCAGCGCCAAAGGACCGTTGGCCCAATGGTTGCAGGCAAGTGAAGTCCGATCACTAATCAAGGCGCTTTTTATGAATACAGAGCAGAGGCGGCAACTTTTGGATTCGATTTTCTAATATTTTGTCATTGTCCATCTTACTCTCACCTGCTATGCCTTTGTGCGGTTTATTTTGAAGTGCTTTCCGGTATAATCAAATCTGATCAACCCTAGTTGTGAGTTCCATACAGCCCTGTTTACTTAATTTCACGTGTAATTTACGGTTGTTAAGCATGATTTTTAGCGAGAGATGTACTTACATTTTCTTTTTTCGATTTTCAGAAATTAAATTTTAGATGTGTCTCCTTTTCTTATTTTGAGTGAAACAGTTGTAATTAAGAGTGTGTAGGGGCTACAAAGCATAGCGCTCTAGGCTTAGTACTAACTCGTAATGCTTTAATTAGATACCGCACCACGTTTCACATTCTCTATCATACTTTTTCAACTGGAAATATTGTGGCAAATCAGTTGAGAGTTTGAATCCGAGTAGAAAAGGGAGAGAACTTAATCTTCACCAAAATTCAAATCATTATTGCCTGAGTTGAAAGCAAGTGAATCTAAAGAGAGATCACTATAGCTGCTTATCAACACCCGCAGGAAAAATTTGATGTTTTCTATAGCTTTTAGCCGTATACCTTGGAGAAACATTTATTGTTTCACCTGTATCCTAAGGTTGATAAGGTCTTCTCGAATTTCTCTAGTCTTCTGAGTTCTAAGGCGGTGACATGGTCATTTGCGACCAATTGATAAGCCAGTCGTAAAACAACAAAGCCCGTGGTCATTCTGAAATAAAGTAGCGCTGATCTTGAC